GGGGGGTGCTACACCAGAAATGATTGTGATTGAGTTCAGTTCGACTGAGACTGTCTGAGAAAAAAGAAGCACTATTGTTGCTGGTTTCCTTTGCAATTCTTCATCCTAGAGTAAAGATTCTCTGGACATCCCATTTGGTCCTGCTACTATGACGTGTCATGGCCCCCAATGTGACTTAATTGTAGTAGATGTGCCAAGATTGTGCTTGGTTGTGACCCATTATCCATGTTAGTGGCATTGTGCTGAAATGACTGGCCCTGCCCTGAGCATGTCTGTAATACACAGAGCATGTGTTGTTAGCACTTGGTGCACAACAGGTTATGCTAATTTTCTTTTCTGTAATTTTATGTAAATGATTATTTCTATCTATCCTTTAGGTTATGTTTTTACCTTTTTTGGCTTGTTTTAATTGCCTGACTAAAAAAAAAAAAAAAAGTTAGGATGGATTTTGAATTTTCAGAATAGGCTAGAGTGAGGTTAAATTGAGATCCATTAAATTTCATGGCGATCCAATAATTACTTAATCAATTAATAATGAAACTTGAGCTGCCTTTGCTGTCGCAAAGTCAGACTCAGATTATCTTCCCACTCTGAATAGATTTCTAGTTTACAGCATGGAATCTGCATGGATTTATCCGGACACCTTAGACCTCTTCCTTAAAGAATATGTTTGCGTGTTAAAGTTTTATGATGTAGACCCAGCGTCGGCAGATATGAAAATGGTAGGGTGGAATCAAAACCTTTTGCATTACATGAATGATGACACCAGACAGTATCGTCTGTAGGGGCTGGAGGAAGGATTCTTTGTTTGCCTTTCATTCAATACCCTACCTGATTGTCCCTAAAACAGATGCAATTCCAAGACCCTTAATAGCTCACAACATTCAGACTGAAAAGGTATAATCTCTTCATCAAACATGGAATAAAAGAGAATGACATACAGCAGAACGTGTTCGAATTACGTTTTTCACCGAGCCCTCAGTCTGTATTTGTGTGCACAAGCAAGCTCTCTGAGGCTTCGGTGAGTGTGTTCAGTTTTCTCTGGGGTATGATAGTAAATACAGTCTCGAGATCAGTCTGTTTACTTGTCTGTGTAGGGATAATATAGCCAGCACTTAAGTGAGGTAAAACCTTGCTGTGTAAATTGCGTGGAATATAGGATGGGTTTTGTTTTGACTTTCATTGATGGAGGTGGCATTGACAGTGTTTTAACGTCTGATTTTCTTGAATAACACAGAGCATCAAGTTTCTATTTTTTTCCTTTTTACCAAGATCTTTTTTTCCTTTATTTTTTCTTGGAATAGCTTTTTTTGCCTATTTTTATGACCTTCAAATAATTTTACACATCGTTTCATAATGATTGTGGAAAAAATGAAATAATGGCGAATGTGCTGGAAAATTGCTTGTAAGGATACCCGTGTTGGTATTGTACTGTTTTTTTTGCACAGGAAAGCTTCTTGGTATTAGTTTATAATCTGTAGTATGTGCTTATTATTCAAGTTAAAAGGTTGTTGCTGTAATATTGTGGAATTTTTCCAAAAGTAAATAAAGATACGTGTTGTGGATTGGGATGGCATCAGGGATCATGAAAGGCCATCTTTGTTAAAAAATGTTTCTTTCTTGTTATGTTTTACCTATAAATTCTTAATTTTCTCAAATGTTTAATTTTTTTATTTGCAATTTTTCTTTCTTATAATTTTATGGATCTAATTTAACTTGACATTCTCAAAGCATGAAAAATTGTGAGCTTTCCAGTAGATTCAGGACAAGATTTTGTGTACACTACCAAGTTTCATCTGTACAGAGATAAAGTACAGAACATCTCAGTCAGCCAAAAGTAATTCCCATGTCACTTTGCTCTGCGTTGTGCTCATTGATTTTGTCTGTACAAAAAGGCAAGGGTTATGTCACTAAAAGCAAATTCACGCTGCATAAATTGTACGAATTTCAGTGGTTTTAAGGCAAATGCAACGCTGACTGTGGGCACATGCTATTGTTTGAGGATGCAAAGGATGTAAATGTTTCTGAAGGCGAGTAGGTGACGCAGACGTTTGAGGTTAATATTAGCATGACCAGGATTGTGTTATCGATCAGTGGTAATTTTGTAGTTTGTGTGTGTTTGCTAGACAGCATATCTTTATGTCTGAGTCTGACTTGGGATTAGAAACAGGATAATCCTGAAAACATTTTTTTTTTTTTTTGCCTTTTTCTTTCATTATATTGATGATAAAGATAATGCTAAAAATCATAATGATAATTTAGAAGTGAAAATTGTGATGATAAAAGATTTAATTATATCTTCTTAATAGGTAAAGGCAGGATAAGTAGTTGGTAAAGAAATCAGAATGAGTTTTTACACAAAAATTGATGTTTAAAATAAAGAAGAAATGCTTCCTTTAAGTTATTTAGCTGTGATGTCTATGATATTTTATTCATGAGTAGTTGAAATACTTTTTATACTACTACACATTCAAATATTCTTCAAATAAAACAGTTTCTTGTTGCTATTGTTGGGTCAGCTGCCTGCATTTATGTGAGTCACACCTTCAATTCCTCATATCACTCTATTCCTGTATATCCCAGATCACCTCGTGCTGGGCCAAGCTTACGAAAGAATCGTTCGGCCTCACGTGCTGGAGTCCCAGCATGGTTCATGTGCCTGCATGCTGAGAAAATTGTGCACGCACCTGCCAAAGTGACCTTGAAAAACACACGAGGTCAACATTTACATGAGTTTTGATACTGTTTACATGATTGATGGAGACAGCGTTTAATCAGCACGAACTGCACGCCAATATCAGATGAGGATGATTTATCGTACATTGAAGCCCGTAATCTGTCCTCTGTGATTTCGCCTGATACTTTGTATGCGGTCTTCTGGGTGCTGTTGAAGCAGTATTATTTATAAGGCATTCAATAGTAGCTTGGCAGTTCATTTTTCCCCAGCTTATTTAAAAAGTCTTAGTGGAAAGGATGAGACTACCATTGGATAGTTTATGGAGTTGTCACATAAGAATGTGTCTGGGTTCCCACATGTGTTTCCTCTATCCCACTGACTATCATTTAAGTATGAAACTTAGTGTACTCGGGTTCTTTTTGATAAAAAATTATTTATTTACTTATATATTTAGTTTTACATTTATTAATTGATTTGGTAACCCTGTTATGTCTGCTAAGCAAAGAACACTGCTGACAGTGCTAACACGTGCAAGCACACAAAGCACACGCACACACACTTTTTATCTGATATTCACGTATAGTGTATGAACATTAGATGACTTGAACACAATCGGGGATATTAATTATGCTTCTGGGATTTTTCTGGAGTTCCGGGGAAATGAGTGGCATAAATTGTGCCGAGGGATACTCATTAGATGTTGATGAAGAGGCTCATGATGGTGGCCAATATTGTGGTGATGATATCTGATATGACTTTTAAATAAATAAAAAAAAAATAGAAAGATATTACTGAAAGATGTAGGTTCAAATAATATCTTGTGTGTTGAATAAGTTACATTTGATAAAATGTGATATTGAAAAATATGTTATCTTGGGATTCAAAACAACAGACATTTATGAACGTACATATTATCCGTCACTCAATTTCAAAGGCTGGAAAAGAGATTCTTGACCTTTCTTAAATGAACCACCAGAGATTTGTCCATTAAGGTACCATGGATTGTAATGTCAGTCTAACTTTTCCCTGCAGACCTCTCTCTGCCAGCTCCAGCCATAATCTCAAGTCATTATCCTTATTATTGTTCTTATCCATTTCCTCTTGCCGGGGAATGGCGTTACAGCGTTATACCCTGGGAATCGTTTGATGAGAGACGTGAAAGACATTTCTATCCTAGTTGTTTTTTTTTTTTCTTTTTTGCTGCCTCTGTTACTATGAATTAGACTTTTAAAAGATTTCTAAGAATTGGGTTCTCTTGGTTTATCATTCTTGGTAATAATGTCTAAAGATAGCTAAAACTTATTTTGTAGCCTGTATCATGGAGATAGAGGTAATTTCTAGTAATGTGAACTTTATTGGTTATATCATCCCATTTGTCTGTTATACCTGACAAAGATGATTTGAAATATTGAATTCTGATTTGGGATCAAGTTCAACAGTTGGTATTATGTGAGCAAATTGAGAGTCAGAAAACTTGAAAGAAAAGTGCATGAATTAGTGAGATGTTTGAAATTTGTGAGGCATTATTTGGAAAATTTTGAGATGATCCATTGGAGTAGAATGAAAGGTGGAATAAACAGTCTATTGCTTTTATCTTCGCTTAAAGGGATAATAACTCTTCATATGAGATCTATATTTCATAATAAAAACATTGTGAATAACTCATAGAAATATAATATATTCTGTTTTACCACAAAAACAGCAGTTATAGCTATTATTCTGATATGTGAGCTTGTCTTTAGACGATGTAAGCTCCATTGATGGCTATACTATGTTAAAATCTCTTAAGAGATTTTAACAAAAAACCAAACATTTAGAAAAAAAACCAGGGACTAACTTTGAATGTAAAAATGGATTCATTAACCATTGGTAAGTATGAGAAAATTGTTGCTCACTCCAGGAAAATTCATTTTTTGGCCAAAACAAAGAGTTATTATCACTTTAAGCTAAAATGTAATTACTTTTTCCCCCATCTTGTTTCAATACCCAGAGCAAATACTGGTCACCTGGTCTGATTTGTGTGTTAAATTGTGAGTTATATTTGTGTATTATAATTTTTCTAAGCTGTAGAAAATTAAAGGTCAGTTATATTTTCCACCTTTCCCAGATATATTTTAATTTCTAAAAACTGTAACTTTTTAGTATTTTTTTTATTTATTATTTTATTTATTTATTTATTTTATTTTTTTTTTTTTTGTTGATGTTCTGTTCTGACTTCATATTTCTCATGTTTATTTCATTCATAATTTTATGAATCAGTATTCATTGGTCAGTCTCAATTTAAAACAATATTTTAAAGTGCTTTTAACCTCAATTTTTACAGGGTAAATGTCAAAGGAAGGAGCCACCATGTAAATATCTTCACCCGCCCCAACATCTTCGAGAGCAGCTTCTACAAAATGGTCGAAATAACTTGATCATGAAGAACCTACAGATGCAGATGCTGACACAACAGGCTGGTTACCAGGTGATGCCCATGGTGAGTATCCATGGCATTGTGTATCCATGGCAATATATATACATGTATCCATGACAACTGGCAAAGAATAATTCCAATAGCTCATGTCCATAGCCCTGAACTTGTAAATGATGCAAAACTAGTTTACTGTACAGGAAAAGTGCCGTTGTACTGCTATTTGTTAAGAAAAATAAAAGGTTCTGTAAGTGCAATGTCAAGATTGTTTATTAATCAATTTTTTTAGTTGTAACTTTTACAACTTCTTGTAAGCAAGCACTATTTAAGCCACATTGGTTGTGATAAGTTTATACCTATACCTAATTTGGTATGGAGCAACATTTAGATGTGGCAAAATACCAGTTTTTGCAAAGGTGCATTTTTTGGGTGAACTAGTTTTGCTCCAGTCTGGTAAAATTAGATGTTATTATATTAAGTGGATATGTTTATGGTATGGTATGACAGACTTATAGTTTTAAAAGCATGCTTGCTTGTCAGTATTTGTTCACTGCTCGTATGCTTAGATATTTGTAATTTTTTTCTTAATTCACTTACTTGCCCACTCACATTTATATCTGTCCATACACCCGATAATTTTAAGGGGGAAAAAAAAGATCTGGGCTTACTTGCAAGACTTGATCTTCCAAAAGGAGCATGTTGAAAAGGCTTATAATTTCTGTCACAGTATCGCAAGGCATAAAAGATAGCATGAAATAAGCATGAAAGGTGTATTTGAAAACTTGTAGAAAAGGTCTAATGGATCAAATAAGTTGCCCATAGTTTAAAAAACAGGGAAGTCCCCCCCCCCCCCCCCCTCTCTCTCTCTGTCTGCCACTCTGCCCCTCCCCTTCCCCCTTGGCCTATTCTAAAACAGATTCTAAAAGTGGAATATGGAGATCAACTTTGATATATATATATTGAGATCACCAAAAATTACTGAATATTCAACAAAAAGAAATGAGATCATGAAAAGATTGCAATAATTGTGTTTGAAGACCACTAGTGATCTTTTTAATATCACAAGGATCCAGATGTGGAAAAGTAATTTAGTGAGAAGGGAGGGAGATACCATCAGTAACTTAGCAGAAAAATATTAGATAAAAATCATTCAGGTGCCGAAGAGAGAGGGTGGGAATACCTCTACACTTTACCCAGAGAATAACATTGGTGGTATACCAATAAGACGAGCTTGAGGTGATCATGAAGGCATGCCGATTTCTCCCCATGAGACAGGAAAAGTATCTTAACATTTATCGAGTCCTGAGAATACAGAGAATGTTGCATATCTTGTTCTTACATCTAGGTATTCTAGGGGTGCCTATAGCAGATGTTATATTTGTCGAAGTTACCATCAGGCCATGCCATCAGGCCTTGCCTCTTCCGAAGGAGTTTTCAAACATTCCATCTTGGGAGTCCATTTTAGGGGCAGGTAGATTGCTGAAACTTGAGATTACCCCCAGTTAAACTGATTTATTAAAAAGAAAATATGTATGACAACTTAAAGCTGCAGGTGATTTGAGAAGTATCCATTTCTTTCCCAGAATCTGCACCGTAAAAAATGACGGTATCATTTTGTAGAGTTTTTGTTTGACCCGGACAAGTGGCAAGTGCTTAAAATTAATGATTCCATAAGATCATAATTTATTGGATAGATAGGGAAAGCTCAACTAAGCATTTTATTCTTTTATCTTATCTCTTTTTGTTTTATCTAGGGTATGTTACCCATACTGTCATGTACAAAGCCTATTACTCAGGGGTTTGATTTATTGCTGTAGGCAAAGAAGTATCCAATCTTTCATATGTCTATTCATTTTGTGAATAACCTGTCCCTGATGAACCATTTTAAATTTGATCTCAGAGGTAAAATATTATTTTTCACTGAATAAAGTCTTAAAAGAAATTAGGTGTTTGAATTGTTCAAATGATTGATGTATGCGGAAAAATTTCAAATAAAAAAAAGAAAGAAAAATAGAAAAATTCAGATGTACTTTTGGCATGATTAAGTTTATTAAAATGAGTAGGTTATGAATCTTGCCTTTTTGGTTATTTACAAAATAGAATCGCAATTACCAGAATGTGTAACAGGCCATATTCACGCCAACTCTTCTCTCCCCCCCCCCTTCCTCCTTCTCCTCCCATCTCCATTAAATTAAAGCTCTTTTCAAACAGCATCAATGAAATACAGAGGTATTTCAGATTGTACATTTTTGGCTCATAAAAAAAGGGGGCAAATATAACATATCTTTCCTGCAGTTGCCACATAACTCTGATTTGAAATACAGCGCTGCTTATTGTAAAGGAATAGCATAATTTAAGTATCTTCCAACCAGCTCAGTTTTGTCTAACATTTTAAGTGGCACCTTTCAGCAGTTAACCTTAATTGATAATTTCCTTCCATGACATTTAAACGTTCTGCATTTTAATCTTACTTTTGACACATCCTTTGCATTTTATTTATATTTTGTTTAACTTTCACTGTATATTATATGTTATTACATAGAGTTGCTTACGCCATGTTCTTTTAATGATGATTTGACATATCACGGTTGTCATAATGGCAGAAGCACCTCCATTTATGCTTGTTTTAGTTATATGTTGTGTTTCCTTTATATATTGGACTGATCTGACAATGGATGAGTTGAGTGAAGTTCTCCATTTATTTCATTACTTGTGTTTATATTTATTTGTTTTTGAGTTTCTTTGTTATCATAATCCATGCATCTGTTACATTCACTCATCATTTTTGTGGTGATTGAAATTAAATTTTGTTAAAAAGAACCATTTATTTTGGAATCAGATATATTTTGTTCCATGTTCTGAAAGAGCCATCACCTTTCTCATCCTGCTCAAATACTGCAGTCCTGGGGCCATTTTCTCAAAATTTTGTTTATAAGTACTGGGATGGCAATGTTCTTTTTTTTTTTTTTTTTGTGAGTGTTTGTGTGTGTGGGGTACTTTTTATGCGCAAAAAATTGTTAATATATGAACTCTTACTGCACATTGTGAATTTTTCCCTCTGTTTTGGAAATTTTCTAAAACCATGCCTGTATAAAACTATACTTGTGTTGGCTTTTAGAGATACACTGCAATATGAAAAGTTTAACTCCAAATATATTGTCGGACATTGCTCTACCTGCCA